GGACTCCACAGTTCAATTACTATACCAAGAAGTATGCTATCAGAAATAAAATGCACTGAAGGTAGGTAATGCAGAAATTAAGTCATGTACTTCTTCTTTGATTTTGTTCTTAGCGTGTGAGTTTTCAAAATAATAGATAAAAGGTTCTCCAAAACATTTGTCCAGGATCATTGTCAACTTGTTCTTTGCCTAGATACAGACAAAACATTGGATAGACTGTGAAGAGTAAGCTACAAACATCTTGGCACATAAAATGTAGTTGATGGCACTATTTTTAGACCAACGGAAGATTAAGTACTGGCATCTACAGTAGTCCAACAAATGAGGATTTAGCGATCCCAAAAATGGCATGTCATAGAACCCCCAGCAATAGAAAAGAGAGGGAAAACAAATAAATAAATAAAGGACCAATTCAGCATAAATTTTCAGCTAACATAGCCCTCAATTCAGAAAGAGTAACTTTCGTTTTATTTTTTACGGAAAGAGCAACATGCCTCAGAAACAGACGATAAATATTGAAGTACTTATCTACGCAAGCTGGTTCTCATACCGAATCTATACTTGAACTATGTTCACTAATTTTGGTTAAGACTCCACAATTGGGAAACTGAAGCAAGAGAAAAGGTCCAAAAAAAAAAAAAACAAAATAGTCACACAGCACTCATTAGACCTATAAAGGCCAATTCTACTTAATAACCTCAAACACCACATTTTTGTAACAAGAATAACTAAGCAAACAGATCAAAACGCAGAAAGCAAAATGTTTAAAAAAATCATTAAAAAGATATATATATATATATATAAAAAAAAAAAAAGCTAGCAACTTTTTCTTTTTTCACCTTAAAGGATTTCCTTGGTTAAATCCAAAGCTGGAGTTAACAATCATTGCCACCCAGAAGGCAATGAAGATGACTAGAAACACAACGTCTCTACATTTCCTATTATGCTTTATGATTCCAACCCCCATTTGAGTATTCCCATCACTTGAAGGGTACCTCCCAATCACTGGCCCCAGGGGTCTCATCTGCTTCCCCTCCAATGCCTCAGCTACCAACCTTCAGCAGCTCTACAGACACAAATACAAAAAGGGCTCTCACAAAAATCTGATTTTTCTTTTCTGTTTGAATGGTAGACGGAAGATTTCAGTACAATGGACAGTAGAAACTACAAAGAAGCAAAAAAGGAGTATGAACAAGACAAGAGAAGCACAGGGTTTATGGGAATATTTCTGCTAAATATTTTTTAATGTTTCTATTTTCTTTTTAAAGTAATTTGAAAGCTACTTTAGTGTCAAGACTAAGACAAAGATATCATGGGATATTTTAATTGATTATTATTAATACTATAACATGGTAACAGAATCCAACAGCCCAGGTGGGGAAAGGGATGGATTGGGTTCAGCTTCAACTTGACTTGATTTACCTTCCACTCCAGTCTTCACTAGTCCACAGCAGCACAACTTTTTACCATAGTGGATTTACTGCGAAATTCGTGCATTGGATTAATTCTTTTTTTTTTTTTCCCTTCCAACTTTGGCCGCCGGATGGGGTATTAAATTTGACTAAAGTTTATATATTAATGCAATTAATACCTGTGGGGCAAAGCAATTAGTGATTGTGGGTCTCTGAATAGGAATTTGGATAGGTAAAGAAAAACTTCAAGCAATGCTTTTCTGAGGGAATAAGAATAACTTCAATGATAAGGATCACGCTTTCTCGCCATTTTTAATTTTTTTGTGTACTACCTCTAAGTAGGGGTGACAATTCGGGTCCAAATCAGGTTGACGGGTCGGGTTCGGGCCAACCTGTCAGAAAATCTGTTGATCCGAACCCGACCCGCCAATCCGTGACGGGTCAGGTATGCTGACCCGAACCCGAAAATTTCAGGTTGACGGGTTGGCGGGTCGACCCGAAATGACCCGAAACTTAATTTTAATTTATTAATTTATCACTGTAATTTCTAATAAAATTAATTTCTCACAAAACTAATTACATAATCAAGTAATAAAAATTTAAATAAATAATTCCAAACCAAATCTAAAATAAATTAAACACCGTAAAAGTGTTTTATCCCAAACAAAATATAAAATAAATTAAAACAATATAAAAGTAAAAAATAATATAATATATTATTTGTCCAAATATAATAATTTCAACTTCACACAAATTAAATAAATTCATTTAGGATTAAGTAATTAATGCCTTTTAAAAAAAGAATAACTTATTTAGTTAGATAAAATTATTTTTATGTTTATTAAATTATTTTTAATTCTTAAACGGGTCATATCGGGTCATATCAGGTCACCACGGGTTGACCCGAAATCGACCTGTTTTCTTTTCGGGTTCATCGGGTCCAACCCGATTCTTACCCGAATTCCCGAAACCTCAACCCAAACCCATTAATTTCGTGTTAGGTTCGTGTCGTGTTTTCAGATCGTGTCGAAAATTGCTACCCCTACCTCTAAGGAGCACAAAATTCTTGTGACTCAAAAAATTTTTAGACCTTTTTCTATCCACTGCTCCAAAGGGAGGAGAAAAAAACTCAGCATGCCAAGTACCCCTATTAAAAATAGGAGAGTAACGAGATTGGATTCCAATCTCATTGCAGCTAATATTGCAGGACCTCCCTCCTTCTGAATGAAATAGGGAAATAATAATATATATACTCCATGAAATATTTCTGCCCATAATTCCATGCTTTTAAATATAGGTTGCCAAAAATTTCTAAGTTTCAACCAAATAAATGAATAATGTTGAGTGTGTTTCAATAGAAGATTATTAGAAATTTTTTTAAAAAATATTACTATAACACTGCTCTTTTTTTTTTGACATGATATATGTGATATAAAAAAATAAATAAAAAACTTGTTTATAATGTAAGTAAAATTATTCTTACAAATAATCACGCATCACTTAAAGCCGATAGAGTACGGAAGTGAAAATTGAAGGATTTTAGTGGATTATAAGCTCAAAAAAATTTACTATCTGTTAAATAAAAGATTGTAAGACCAAATGGTTTTTACTTCTTTATTCTACTCTCTATTTCTCAGGAAAAAAAATCCCACAAAAGTTTACAATTGGGAACCCAATTGTTTTTTCCGGTTTTAAAATTTTTATGGTGCAGAAAAAGAAAATGGAATAGGCCCACAGAAAAGTAGTGAAAGTGCGAAACAGCTGCTCGTGCTGGATTCGCGCCATTAGGAGAAAGCATGGCGACTAGCCATTCTAGCGGTAAAAAAATCGTTTACAGCCTCAATTTCTCACTTCCGATTTTCATCCCGCGGAAACGGCGGCTCGAAAATGACACTAGGGCTCCTCAGTCCTCAGCATCGAAAGAAAACCACGCCTCAGAACATCGTTGGTCCAATCGGACCTCACAAACGTCGTTTTTTGGAATGTGGGCTTTTGTCCCCATTTTGTGGACTCAAGGGAGAATCCATCCGCGCCCAATCAATAATTGTTCTCCTATCAGGAGTAGTGAAAGGCCCAGACCATTGAACTCTTTGACTATCATCCGACCTGAATTTTCTAGAAATGGAAAACTTCTATTTGTCCATTTATTTTGTTCCTTTTTCCCATTACAGTACAAATAAGAAAAGTGTGCCAAAAAGGATAAAAGAAAAAAAAGAAGAATAAGTAGATGCGAATTCTTATTCATGGCACGTCCTTATAAAATCTATTTGAAGTCGTAATTTTATAAAGTTTTCTTGAATTCTCAGAATCAAACTAACAGTTTTTAGAAGTTTATTTTACATTACGAACTATTTCGTTAGTTAATACTATCATAAGAATTTTATACTTTTGTGTCCACAACATTTTTTGTTGGGAATTTTATAGCTAGTAGTGTTCTAAACCAATGAAAGATAAATATCTTGTAGGGCAGAGCATAAAAAATACAAAGTCATGGTAATTCAAATATAGGATGGAATTACGAAACAAATGACTGTGAGACATTTTTAGAAATAATACTAATAATAAGGAAGTTACAACTTACAAGTCAAGCAGTAAACAAGTCAAGTATATGGTTTTTCAACTTGACTCGTTTCTTTAACAAGTTAGGCTCGAACTTGACTCGTCTAAATTTATATTATAACTTAACTCGTTAATAAAAAAAACCAAGTTCAAACTAAAACGAAAAAAATCTTGAATGAGCCTGAAATTGTTATATGAAATTGCAACTCAACAAGAAAATCCAAACTATAAGAAAGTGCTCAATTGCTTTTTACAAAACAAATTATAGTTAATCAAGCAAAGCTAAGTGTGTCTAATTAGCCAAACTTCATGTATATTAACAATGAAAAACATTTATCTTATCCATATTATTTTGAACGTAACTTATTTGATCAACATCTTCATTTTTTTTTTCTGCATATCAAGATTTGTAGAATAACCTTTTTAAAATGTTTTTTTTAAGTGTAAGCAAAATGGTTCGAACCCGAGACCTCACGCTTACACTCCCTCCCCCCGTACCACCTAACACATCCCTCCCTCCATTTGTAGAATAACCTTAATGCAAATGAAATTGATGATTAAACATGCTTGTTCTAGCACATAAATGAATCTAAATAAGCTTAAATGAGTTATTTATAACTCGCACTTTGCTCAGTTCATTTAATAAACAAGCCTAATTATGTGTTTGATCTCCACATATTTAGTTAAAAAATTTTCTTACCAATGTTCATTAACACATTTAAATTTTATCTAATTTACCATGTATATACGCGTACTAACAATTATTATTCTCTTTCATATTTATATGTTTTTCCTATTTAATCTTATCTATTTTTATTATATTTATTTATTTTTTCTTAATTAATCTTACATTTAAAAGAATACGACACTTGAAATATATTTTAAATCATATTTAATGGACACGCCAACAATTCAGCTGGTTCTATAGCGCTGGCTGTGAAGCTAGAGTTTACATTCTTAATTGTGCATTTTATAAAGGTATAAAGTACAAACATTTAAGCCATTAGAACCAATGAGTAGTCTACCAGTTTTAGGCCAACAAAGAAAAACTTTGTCCCTCCTCCCCAGTAGTACAAACTCTCTACACCAACTCCACCTGCTCGATCACTCAAGCTTTCAAAGCTGTCAAAATCTAAATGCATATAACATCTAGTGTTTTTGCCTGATTAATAATTCTAGCTCGCTAGCAATTTCCATAAAGCCGCGTTTGGTTGCCAATTGCTTGGAATTTCACTTTATTGTCTCCCCAGCCCACGCAATTTTCCCTGTCATCGCCAATCCTGCCGCATATGGGTACTCTTATTCGGATAATCTACGGAATTCGGTTAATGATTTGAACTTAGTTACGCTGCTTTAGCGTTTTTCTAATTGTTTTTCCTTTTCGGTACTTGTTCAATTGCGGAAGTTTAATAGTTCTGGATATTGCATGGCTTCAGTATTTTCTGAGTTCTTAGCATAATTTGTTATCCTTAATTACGCCTTGTTTTGCTGCAAAAATTTTGTGCTTATGTGTTTTTACTTTGCTACATCTATGTTTACGAACTTATTCAGTTCGAATTCTACATTTTGGACACAATTTTAGTCTTTCTGTTCAACATCCTTCTTTGTTTCTACCTTGCTTTGATACATGATGATCTTATGTTGAAAATGGAGATGAGACACTATTTCCTTTTTCTTCAGTACTAGTTTTCTGTTCTTAAAGTGGTTTACTTCTCTACCAGGTGTAGCACATGCAATACGCTCATGCTTGGATACTTTGGCGGATTTCCCTAAGACACAAATTGGTTTTATGGCCTTTGACTGTAGAATACACTTTTACAATATGAAGGTAAGACTCCCCCCCCCCCCCCCCCCCCCCCCCCCCCCCCCCCGCGCTCCTCCTCCTCTTCTATGGCTGAACATAAAACAAAATTTCTCCTTTGACAGTTCAATATCTATACTTCTCAATAACTTTTGTGATTTTCTGCTTCAGTCATCCTTGATGCAACGTCAAATGTTGGTGGTCTCAGACTTAGATGACATGTTTTTTCTATTACCGTATGATCTCCTTGTCAACTTGTTTGAATCAAGAACTATGGTGGATGCTTTCTTAGATGGCTTGCCCTCAATGTTTGAGAATACTTCACACGTGGAATATGCCTTTTCTCCAGCGGTCAAGGTAGCCACTATGGTCACGGTGTATCAGTAGACAAGAAAACTTTTTGTACTCTTAATTTTGTCATCCTTGAATAATAATCTAGTATCTATCACTTTTCAATTATTATTGGCTTATCTCTTGCTAAATTATTTCTTTGTAGATAAGTTGTAAGATGCCTTGTTTGTTGTTTTGTAGAGTCAAATAAATGAAAAATTGTTGATTTTTCAGAATACAACGCCATCACTGGGCGTTTGGTAGGATGAAGTTGTGACATGATGATCATCATGTGTATGGGACAGGTAAATAGCATTTATTAAGACTTCCAGAAGATCCATTCTATGGAGAGATGGTTGCTGAATTGACGGATTGACGGAAAAATAGATAGCTGTTGATGTTTATGCTTTCAGTGACAAATATGCTGACATAGCCTCTCTAGGTTTGCGCTAATGATAATTAACCATTGGCTCTCAATGACAAATTCATTTCTTTATTATATACTGTGGGTTTTTTCTTTTTTCCCTTGTCATGTTTTGGATTGTGATTCTTAAAGTTTCAAACCCCAAGCATATTTATAAGAACTTAGTCAGGATATGAACTACCCATAGACTGTCTCAGCTGTCCAATTATTTTTTGAAAAAATGAAATATTGTGACTTTTAATAAATTAATCATGGATTAAAAGCAGTCCTTCAACTAATGAGGAGGTCAAATTAATTTTTGTATTGCCTAATAGCTGTCTTTCTGGTTGACGTCTAAGAAGCATGTAATAGTTATTCTGATATCCCTCTTACGGTGTTTGTTGACTGCTATGCTGGAATTTACCAAATGCATATAGCCTAAAATTTTCTGTGCAGTGCTTGGTATCAAGTTTAAATAAATGATGTTTTTCCTATTACGCTTCTGTTAAAAGAGTGTGTCTATCTACCATTATGTTGAATGTATAGGATACTTGGAGTCACAATAATATTGAGCTTTTACAATAAACGTAGGTACTCTATCAAAATATACTGGTGGACAGGTATATTATTGCCCAAATTTCCAGTCTGCTTGTCAGAGAGAGAAATTGAGGCATTAACTAAGAAGCGATCTTTCAAGAGAAACTGGTGGGGAAGCACTGATGCGTCTTAGATGCGGAAGAGGCAAGTAATTGTGGGTTTATGTTATATCCCCATTATCTGTGAATACATTTATTTCTAATCGAATTCTTTGAGTTTTCATTGTCTGCTTTCTGGACTCTGAGACTAAGTTTTCTCCTGGCACTAAAATGTACATGTATCTCAACTTTTCATGAGAACTTTTTGAGGTCGGCAAGTTTGTTATCCCTTCCAACTTTAGACTCTGATTAAAACTTTCACAGCTCGGCTTTGTCTTGAGGGACCATTACTAACTTCACACGGTGTATATTTCCAAGTATCCTTTTTGTATCCTTCAATGTCTTAAGAGCAGCTGTACTAGACCTATGTAAGCATTTTCTCTTTTGTTTTCGAACTGCAGTTTTACTTGTTTAATCCTTGTGATCTTTCCCAGTTTTGTTCTTAGATAGATTAGAATCTAATATAACCTTCTTTCTTTTATTATACCCGTAGATGTTATAGACAACATAAAATTCTATGAAAGATAGATCCTACAAGTAGTTTAAGCTCTCACTTCAGTCCTAAATGCCACATGTTGCATAACTTCACATTTTTGTTCTTATTTGATCATATATAAGAAAGTTCCCATTGGTTTACTCTAACTATATAGCTGTTGCTTTTAATGGTAAAATTATAATGGGCAGTTGTGATTAAGGAAACAGTGTTAAGAAAAATAAACTCTCAAGACAAAGCAGGTTTAAGAAGATAATTTAATTTAATTTTCTACAACTAGTACGTCTTTTTTAAAATCAATCAACCTATTCTTTGATGAATCTTATGCTTTTTAATTGCCAAAAAAAAGTGAAACTTGAGAGTTAAGATAATCCCTTCAACCTGTTTTCCCCCTTGAGTTTTGATAAACAACTAAACCTAAATCTAACACTGTGGTTATTGCATAACTAGAACCCTGTAACAACTATATCACATAATTTTTTGGTTCCTAAAGAGATATGTCAGACAGATTATCGTGCCATGATGGAGTATTAGAGTTGCAACTGTTCTTTTGGAATACACAACGTGCAAATGGTAGATTTCTTTTGTTCTGGATAGCTGAAGAGAATGATCAGTTCTGCATTCTGGATCATCAAATGGTTCATAGAAATCGTGAAGCACAATGAGAAATTCTCACTTTCATGCAAACTGTTCATATGACCTGTTCTTCCTTTTAACTTTGACAATTGAGGTTATTACAATTTATTAATTTCTGAAAGTATGGGGAAATATAGAAAAGATTGTAAAGGATTAAGTCCTGGTTGACTTTATGTTAGCATATTACAGTCAATTGCTCCCATCTCTTTTAGATAGGTAGTTTCAAGTATGCAAAAACTCTAAGTTCTAATCTTGCTCCACTTGTATCCAGCATGTCTTCTATATTTAGGTTATCCAAGCATGGAAATCATGTTAATTCTCCTCTCTGTTAGTTAAAGTTGTACTCTTCTTTATATTAGAAAATTCTTCTATATGTTAATTAGTTCTCATTGCATTTCTATGGGCACGGATGTACTGATTGCAAGATGTATGGGTTGGGTTAGTTCTTTTTTGTTCTTGAAAACTAATCCTCCAGCCTGGTGACCATACTACCCTTGGATGTAGGACAGTACATACAGAGCCAGTTGACGTTTTTGTTTTACTAAAACTACTATTTCATGTTTGAACTGTTCTTTATGTTCTATGCTGATCTTTGATCCACCCTTATGTGTTTAGGATGCTTTATTTAACCAATCATTATTCAATCAAGTTTTTAGGTTTATGAAAAGAACGCTAATTTCCTCGAAGTTTTCAGCAAATATTCCTTTACGTCTTACATGATTCCTTAATGACACAGTTTCTAATGCAAAAAGTGCTGCTTTTGCTTTCCTAGTAACCTTTATGTTGATTTTTTGTCATGCATCTAGAGTTTCATAGGAATATAAGTTTGCAGCAGCTATATTGTAAGTTGTGCTCATGTTGTTCGTGACACTTGTTCAAATGTTCTTGTTTCATCTGTGTGGTTTCCAAATGCAAATGGTCTTCATATCAGACAAATTCTTTTTACGCATTTGGAAAATACGGGCATAAGCATTATGGTTTATATCTTGTAAGTGGCTGTATCCATTCTTATCTGTTTTAAGTCCCAGTGAGAACAGCTTCCATGTGGACATGACTGAGAAGAGGATTACCTCACCCAAACTTGAGCTATATAGATTCCCCTAGTATTAAATGCTATAGGAGTAGGATAAATGATCAATAAGAATAAAGTGAATTAAGACCACAAATAATTGAAGATCCTTGATTATTGAAAGATACACTTCATCTTCTGGAGAAAGGCATATCAGAGTTCACACAGCAGCTGTGCCAGTGGTTGCAGATTTGGGAGATACATATAAATGTACTGATACTGGTGCTGCCATTTCATTGTTTTGTAGGTTAGGTAAACACTTCGCACACCCTTCACCTTCATCACTATTTCAGTAAAGCATAACTATAACAATACACTAGTCACTATAATTGATTTATGTATTATTATGAGCTGAAACTTTTGCAGCTATTGAGTAAACTCTGTCCAACAAATTGGAAGAAGCTCAAAGTTTTATCCTGCTACAGATTGTGAAGACTCTTCGAGAATCTCAAAATTTTATTTATGTGCAACATCGCTTGGGAGGCAGGATGTTTTATCCCAGAGTGCTGAAATATTTGCCTTTGTATGGGTTATGACTTTGTAAGTCAACATTTCCGCATGGGGGATATAATGACGATAAGATTGAGGAATGTTGTGCAGAATGTGATGATGGCTTTATCTATTAAGAGATTGCTAAAACTCCTCTACGCTAACATTTATCAGATTGATGAGTATCTTTTAAGTGTACTGCTTTCCTTACAAGTTTTTTTTCCATTTAATTTAATTAAGTATGGGGTTTATTAGGCAATACTCATGTGCATTTATATATGATATCTACAGGCATCACCTACAATACAGGAGTTCCCTGGATCTTGCCACAGATTGCCTCTTTCTGCATGGAACTTAGATACCAGAGGAATCTACATTTATGATGATGGTTTCAAATTTGTTGTACTTTTTGGAATGATTCTATTGCCTGAACTTGCTGTTACTTTGCTTGAGAAAGGATTTACAACTGGTTTTTCAAAGGTTTGCTTTTCTGTATGTTTTAGAAATGCATTGCATCCATGCGTGGTAGTCTTAGAATTTAATCGAAGCATGCAAGTTAAGGTTGTAATTTCTAATTTTCGCATATTTTCAGTCAAAAGAAATATATTATATGCTCCTGGAGAGTACTATTGCAATAGCTTAGTCCCTTCATAGATATCTCTGCATAGATAGGGTAACATGTGGTGCAAAACCAAGTTTTCTATTGGGCAGATTTTTTTTTATGGTTATTCGTTGCTGCAATTTGATTTGTCTGGTTCACTTCGCCTGTAAACATCTCCTGTAATATGATATCAGGTTAGCTTCTCTGAACAAGTCAATCAAACCGCAAGAAACCTGATGTCAATCCTTGAGAAACTTAGGGAGGACAGTTGCTCATGTTATCAGCTGCCTTGTATTGTCAAACAAGGTGAATTTATTTTGACAAATCTCAATAAGGATCCTGTTGATGGTTTGAATGGATATGTGGACTGGATTCTGAAAATATATGGGCAAGTTCAACTAAACTTTTGAGATGCCAGTAATATTAACACGTCTTTGGCTATTTTTACTGGGATTGGACTACAACTGTTGATGCTAAAATCATCATCTGTATCTAATATACAAGTCCTTTAGCACGAATCTTGTTCTATACTTCCAATTGATTTGATCTTTGAAACTTTTGGTATTAGCATTAAAGCCAGATCTGCTTTTTTGTTCCTTCCCTTGTTGGTCTCTCTCTCTCTCTCTCTCTCGTTCAATCGATCTTTTTCCTTCAAAAGTATTTCTTTCCTAAAGCTAGCAAATTTTTGCTCCAGCTCTATCGAAAATTTTTTCTCTAAAGTTTGCATATATGGTTGGTCAAATCTCTTGTTTGATGTTATGCCCGTGTTTCTACAGGTAAAGTTTTCTTCATAGTTTAACAGAAAAAACATTTGAATTCAATATTTGTAGAGTACAAGATAGTTAAATCTATAATTGTTTAAGTCAAAAAAATAACAAAGGTTTTTATTTAACCCTACCATGAGGCAATCCACTACCATGAGCAGATATATTTATTTTTTGGTGAGACGAAGATAATTTTATACAAGTTTCTTTCCGCTTTGATATGCTTGAAATCTTTCATTCGAGCAGGCCGGTTTGCAATTGCCTCAGGTCATCGGTTTGAGATGTAGCTCGTTGAAGTCCAGCTATGATCTCATTGTGTATAACGGAGTATTGAAGTGGATCAATGCAGTCACAGAATATTCTTAAAGCAAGCAGTTTCTTGACAGTATTATGCTTGATGTCTCTTCAAAAACGAATTTGTTATGTACTACAAGAAAGCGTATGTCAAATATGCAATACTATAACCTACATGAGAGGAATATGGCACACTTCAAATTAAACGAAAGTAGCAATTAGTCATCTGTTCTATCACCATCTCATATCTCCCTACTTAGTCATCTGTTCTATCATTTTTAACCGCTAGCAAATGAAGAGAAGAGCACAATCTTCTTCAAATAGTTTGCTATTGCATAACTCTCGCATGCTGCTGCAGTTATGAATATGGTTATTTGATTGATGTTCTTTCTTCTCTAGCGAATTATTTTATGAATATGGTTATGGATACCCACTCAACTGTTTGATGTCTCATAACTGTCAGCTTTTATATTCTCTTGATAAACATGCATTTATCAAACCTAAATGAACCCAAAAAAAATGGCATGTATTCATGAATTTTGCAATTACTATGTACGTACCGCGCCCTCCCATTCCCAATAATCAGAAGATCATGTACCATTTCAATTATAATGCAAATTGCCATTAGTGGCAGAATATGTATAAGTAAAATTTTGTTTCCCTTTAGCCTTATCAACTAAATTTGTGTCAATTATGTTCATGTCATCCTCTATTGATAAGATGATAGACTTGTTTCTGCTCAAAAAATTTTGTTTGATAGATCATTTCAGGAAAAGTAGCAAGCAGTTCCCACGTAAAAAATGAGACTTGAAAACATTATTTGGATGGTATCAAGACATAAGAATAAAGGGGTCAAAAAAATAACAAAAAAGAGAGACGGAAAGGAAAGATTCTGAATCCATTAATTTGATATCAGGAAAAAGCCAGACATCATAGCAAGGCCATATGAATCATATGAAAACTCTCACGCTTTTCATCATCTCATACTAAGAGGAAGAAAATGAGCTCAATATAGCTAAACCTCAGGTTGTGATGTAGGTACATTGCAGCCATATGTATCATATGAAAATTCTCATGCTAAGAGGAAGAAAATGAGCTCTATACACCTAAAGCCTCAGGGTTGTGTATATATGTACATTGCAGCAGATATCGTCAAATCATATTTGACATAGTGCAACGTAAGCTTCCCACTATCTTATCCAGTATAATAATAAGAACCTGCGTACATGACCTCGCCTATTTAGCTCGACCAATATCCTTCAATTCTATAGGTATTGAGCCCTATAAAGTATAGGCTGTAGTCAACAATCTCTCCAAGGCAACCATCAAGAAGAACGAACCTAGACTTGTGGCCGATCATATTTATTCATCTGATATAGAAATCTGATGAGGTACGCAATGAGATGTGGAGTGAACGTCAGTGAGTGCATGATCCTATATAAGCTTCTTACAAAGTTAGAAAAAGTTTCTGACAAGTGTTCAACAGCTCACAGAAACTTCCAAAATAGTCTTGAAGTTGAGGACTCACCGAAGTCATGAACTGTCACTTGCAAAGCCTTTTAGCCGACAGATTTAAGTATAGATGAGGATAGTACCAAAACCAATCATTTGTTTCTTGCGGTTTCTTTCATGAACTGTCACTTGCAAACCTCTTTAGCCGATAGATTTAAGAGTAAAGTGAGGATAGTAGCAAAACCAGTTATTTCTTTCTTGCGGCTTCTTTCTTTACTCGGTGCATTCTCTCTGAGGTCCAGTGTTTGAAGATCGACCTTTGAAGGTACTAATCTTGCTTCCTTATATATTCTGACTGTATTTTGAGAGAATTATGTCAGTTTTGCCGTCAATCCTTCATTTGCATAGATTATTTACTATTTTTTTTTATGCTAATTCTATAATTGCTCATGAGCTATGAATTCGAATGATCTATAAATTATTACCTCCTGAATGCAAATAAGATTGTTTGCCATATATGGCTGTGGATTTCTTGAAAGAATTTGGAAAAATGTTCATTATTGAAATTAATGCACGTTTAATAATTGCATTTTTCTTGCCAAATTTCATTTAAATGATCTCTGATTTACATCTTTCTGAATTTGATTAGAATTGTCAGCTATGCATGCCATCCAGTTCAATTCTTTCATGGGAGAAATAAATATTATCAAAATTAATGAAACTGCAATTTATTTCAGTGCGTTTTTTCTTGCCAGATTTCACTTGAATGATCTCTAATTACTCTTTTCTGAATTCAGTTAGGACTTTCTGCCATACATGCTAGTAAATTTCTTCAAAGAATTTTGAAAATGTACATTATTGAAATTAACGCAAGTCCAATATATTTTATTGCATGTTCCTTGCTAGAATTATTCACTCACAACTCGATGTCTTTAAACCTCTTCCACATGAACTAAGTTTTTTCTATGCAAGTATGCATTAGTTAAAAGAAATGGTGTATAAATGATAATTAATTAATGTTTTCATATATTTTTCAGGTCAAATCTAAGCAATGGATGCAACTGATCAGGTTTTGAACCAGTCTGATCGCGAAGATTTTCAAGATAGGATCAGTGACCTCCCCAGAAGTGTTCTTACTCACATTTTATCTCGCCTTACGACTAAGGATGCAGTGGCTACGAGTGCTCTGTCTAAGACGTGGAAGATGAAGTGGACGTGCATTTTTAATTTGGACTTCAACGATACGTCCCTCTATTCTTACAGGGTAATAAATAGGGAAAGATTTGTTTCATTTGTCGAGAAGGTACTTCACCACTGCGGGAATTTGAGAATTCATAGCTTTCATCTAGTATGTTCCAAGAGCTACAATGCATGCCAAGTTACTAGATGGATTTTTACTGCACTGAGGCGAGGTGTCAAGAATTTTTCCCTAGATTATCCAAGTGGAAACTTCTTATTTCCAAGCTGTTTTCTAGGCTCGGAGTCATTAGAGGAAGTGACGATTTCAATTCCTTGGACCGTTGAAATTTATCCAATTACTTCATTCAGAAACCTGAAAATCTTACGTCTCACCAGAATGAAGTTCGAGAACATGGATTATCCTCACTCGACCGAACTATTCTTCAGCTTCCCAGCCCTACATACATTTTGCATCCGCCGCTGCACCTGGATGGGGATAAAGCTCATTAGGATCGAAGCTCCTTCTCTTTCAATCTTTGAGGTATCTCGGTGCAGGTATGGGAAAGGAGATGAAAGCTGTGAAATCCAGATTTTAGAAGGAGCCCCCAATCTTTCATATGTGAAATGGGCTAGTAAAGATTTTCTTGAAAACTTCGTCCTGCCAAGCCCTTCATCAGTTTCTAAAGCGGTACTCGACCATTTTAATGTACTCGAAGATCTCTGGGTAGCTGGCATTGGAGCTGTGAAGCTTTTGTTACTAGTATCTAATATTACCCGTCTTGAGCTTTCCATTGATATGGTTGAGGTAATTTCTCATCTTCACTTGGATCAATCAGGCTTTAGATTTCTTTAAATAAGACAGTATCTGAGCATTAATGCATTTTTAAGTTTCAAAAATTTGAAGGCAAAAAACTTGGGAATTTTACTTAACTCATTTAGACCATGCAGTAACATTAATAACAAGTTAATTAACAGCGGAAAAAAAAGAAAATAAATATATTCGTCTCATAATTTCGATTTTATAGAGATACAAATTATACTAATTACATCTCCTGTCCATAATGCTTATTCAATTAATATGTGTTCAATTTATAATACTTCTCTTCTCTTGAATAATGTAGCTGCTATTTTGGAACATCTATACATAATAACGCCTGTGCCTCATTTAATTTTATCAAGGCACTGGACCGATCTGGAACAATACGTTACATCCCCATGCTTGATCAGGTTATCTATCTAAAATTGGATTCACGTTATTCGGGTAGTACCAGAGCTCTGATGAGTTTGCTGAGGAAGACACCAAATCTGCTGTTTCTGGACATACAAGTAATCAGACTCCAGATCCCT